AAACAAGGCCCGCCAAAGGCCCGCCAGCTCCTCAGTGCGGTGGCGGGGTGAAAAGAGACTCAAGAGGACCGTAACTCTGCGTAGTCCCGCCCCGCCCAGGCTCCGCCCCGGCCACGCCACGCCCAGGTCCCCGCCCAGGCCACGCCCAGCCTGCGCAGTGGGCGCCGCGCCCCTAGCAGACAGACTCGCGCTTTGGCCGACCTGCGCGACCGGAGCCGACCCCTGGCTTTTTCACGCTGGGGTGATGGCTGCCCCGGCCCTGGTCACACGGCAGGTCAGCTTTTTTTTTGCTGCCCCGGCCCTGTTCACACGGCAGGTCAGCGGCTGCGCTGCCCCGGCGCTGGCCCCGACCGGCCCTGAGCGCGGACAACCCCTGGCGGACGCTGTGGCCGAGCTGCCGGTGCTGGACGCCTCCGGGAACCCGGTGCCTTTCGGCGCGCTGTTCCGGGAGCGACGCGCGGTCGTGGTCTTCGTGCGGGTGAGCGCGGGGCGACCTGCAGCGAGGACCTCGCCCACTGGCTGGGGTGGAGGTTGCCACGGTGGCCCCGGGTCGGGGGGCCTCGGAAGGGCCGGGGCGAGAACGCGGGTGGGCCGAGCTCGGCCCACTTCACCGTCTTCCACCAGAGGCGTGCGAGCCGCTGCTCTCGCTGCCGTTACGGGAAGGAAAAACAGCCCGCCACGCCGGGGCTGCGTAGCGAGGAGAGGACTGGGCGCGGCCGGGTTTGAGTGCGCCGACACCTTCGTCCGTCCGCACAGTATCGAGCTGATGGGCTGCAGGCCCGATGAACTCCGTGGCCGAGTCTGGTTCCCGAGGTGCTCCGTTGCTAACTTGGCGCTTTTTGCGGTTTTGGATTTCAGCATTTCCTGTGTTACGTCTGCAAGGAGTATGTCGAAGATCTGGCCAAAATTCCCAAGAGTTTTTTGCAAGTAAGTTTCCTGAGAGTGGCTGAGCGTCCTGCTTCAGGGCGACTTTGCCAGAGTCCTTTGTCATCTATTAGTGTAAGCAGTGGGGGGGTAGGGGGGTGGAGCGTGACCTCCAGACGTGCACCCATAAACCCAGATTTTCTGCCCCTCACACTTCTTCAGCTCCTCCAGAAGGAGAGAGGCCCCTTGGAGACTTATTTCTATCCTAATTTATTCGTTGTTTCCTGCATATAAACTTACTGATTATCATAATAAATGTTGGTGGGGTCGGCAGGTGGCATGATGGTTAAAGGTGCCGGAGTCCCACGTGGGCGAACACTGTTCAAGTCCCAGACCTGGGCTTGCTTTCTCGCTTTCTCTTTCTCTCTGTCTCTTTCTGGTTAAATTAAAAAATAATAACAAATGGAATTAAATAAATAAGTGTTTAAATAATAATAATGTTGGCATTATCTGGTAACCTGCTTTTGTGCAAAATGTTGAATGATAATGCTCCAAAACAAATGCTAGATATTATTGACTTTTTCCCTTTATTTTTTGTTACACTACAAATAGTTACTCATAATAGGAAAATACATGTTTTAAATGTGGAAATATGGGACCAGCAGGTGGCGTAGTGGCTGGGGCGCTGGACACTCCCACATGTAAGACCACGGTTTGAGTCCCAGACCTAGTGGCTTGCTTTCTCACTTTCTCTCTCTCTCTCTCTCTGTTTCTTTCTGGTCACATTAAATTAGGTGAATAAATAAATAAATAAATATTTTTTTTAAAAGTGGAAATATGTATTTGTTGACTGCCAAGATCTGTGTCTAGGACAACCACAACATGTTTTTCATCAAACACGGCTCTCTTTCCCAGGAGAGCTCTTTGAGTGGACGCATTGGGCGGGCTGATAACACTGTTTTGTGCAAATGTTATCAGTCGGAATGTGAAAAGATAAAATTGATTAAATAATCCCACTTTTATAGGGTTTTTTTCATAGACTTTTGCTACAGGTGGTGTGTGCTTCCTGGAGAGAGAGACAGAAAGCAAGAACTCACCCACCAGTAGGGTTAGCCATGCTGCAATCCTATCTCCTCCATTCCCCTTTCTGAATTTTGGACACACATGTTTTAAGCCACTCGGTCCAGGACTTGAACTACGGTCAACTACGTGGGAGTCCAGCAACATAACCATTATGCCGTCTGCTAGTCCCAATATTTTGTGTTTTTTTCTTCTTTTTTTTCTGTTTAGAGAGGTTTTTCCTATAGGCACGTGCGGTCGCCAGAAAGACAGAGAGACAGAAAGTGAGAAATCACCTCTCAGGGGGGATGGCCTTGCCGCAATCCCTTCTCCATTCTCCTCTCGGGATCTTGGGCACGCACGCACACACGCCCAGCATGAGTTTAAGCCACCGGGTCCAGGACTTGAACCGTGGTCAACTACATGGGAGTCCAGCGACATAACCATTATGCTAACTGCTGGTCCCAGTGTTTGGTTTTTTTTTTTAGAGAGATTTTATTTTTACTATAGGACACGTGTGCTCGCCAGAGAGACAGGGAGAGAAATCAGTCCCCACCAGGGGAATGGCCATGCTGCAATTCCTTCTCCTCCATTCTCTTCTTGGAATTTTGGGCATACACACGCATGTGCCCGACATGAGTTTTAAGTCTCTGGGTCCAGGACTCAAACCGCAGTCAACTATGTGGGAGTCCAGCAACACCCAGTTTTTTTTTCTTAATGTATACTTTTTTGGAGTACAGAGAATTCTTGACCATCATTTTGGGAGAACAATTTTTACTGTTCCTCTGCATATCCTTTTTATTCACAAATAATAATTGTATATATTTCTGGTAGTACAATCCAATGTTTTGATATGTTTTACATGATTGCCGTAGTGCACCTGTGCTTGCCAGAGAGAGGAGGGAAGTGAGAAATCAGCCTCCAGGGAATGGCCATGCTACAGTCCCCTCTCCTCTCTGGCGAGTGCATGTGTCCTGTAGCAAGATAAAAAATAAAAATAATGATAAATTAAATTAATAATTCTTTAAAAACAAAGCAAACACACACATTGGGTTGGTGCACATGCCAAGATCCTGACAAGATGGAGGGAAAAAAACAAAGTTTCCTAAGGATGACAATTAGAATATCGACTTTGGTAATCTTTACAGTACATCTAAGAAATCATTGCCCAGATCTGTATTATGGGCTTTTCCCCTTTACATCATAACTTTACTCGTAACCCAGTAGTTTACAGTTTTAGGTCTTACCTTTTAAGCCTTGAAATTATTTTTTTTAATTATTATTAGTATTATTTTAATTTGACCAGAGAGCGACATAGAGGGAAAGTGAAACAGCAAGCCACCAGGTTCAGGACTTGAACCACAGTTGGCCATGTAGAAGTCCAGCACCCTAACTACCATACCATCTGCCAGGTCCAAGTCTTGAAGTTCTTACTTAGCAAAAGGTCATCTGAATTGATCCAACCTCTTAGGTTATGTTTCTTTGACTCACACAGTTCTAGTATTTATTCCATTCTGCTGGAGGCCAATAGGTGGCATTAGAAGGAAACGGAAGAGTTGAATTAGGGGAGGTTGTATAAAACATGGTTTCTAATATACACGACATCTTTTTCTCTTAAAGGAAGCAAACGTCACTCTTATAGTGATTGGACAGTCATCTTACCATCATATTGAGGTAAGTATGTAGCACAAAAAGGAAAATAAACTAGTAAATCGGGAAGCAGATGAAAGCTGTTTCAGATATAATTACACCATTTGAACCACAGAGTGTATGTGAAGTTGGCTGAAGATTATCACTACTTTTCCCATTCGTTCTTAGAAAAATTCCAACTATCTTTTCTTCTCAGCCTTTCTGCAAACTGACTGGTTATTCTCATGAAATCTATGTTGATCCTAAGAGAGAAATTTATAAAACATTGGGACTGAAAAGAGGTGAAGAAACTGCCTTCTCAGGTAAGCCATACCATGTCTCAAGTAGAACACTCCCGGGGTGTATTTTCACATTTCCATATGTACGCATAGAGAAACAAATAGTAAATTCATAAACCCGGCTGCCTTTTATGATTTTAGTAAGTGGTCCAGGTGGCATGGTGGTTAAGGTGCTAGACTCTTTTTATTATTATTATTATATATTATATTTATTGATTCATATATTTTAATTTGACCAGAGAGGGACACAGAAAAATAGGGAATGTGAGAAATCAAGCTACCAGGTCTGGGACTCAAACCATGGTCAGCCATGTGGGAGTGTCCAGCGCCTTAAACACCACACCACCTGCTGGCCTCCAAATGCTGGACCCTTATGTGGCCAACTGCAGTTCCAGTCTGAGACCTGGTAACTTGCTTTCTTTCTATCTCTGGTGAGCACGTGTGCCCTATAGCAAATTTTAAAATAATAATAAGTAAAAATTAAATAAATATTTTTTAAAAATAATAAATAGAGACCAGCAGTTGGCGTAATGGCTATGTTGCTAGATTCCCATGTAGTCGACTGTGGTTCGAGTCCCAGACCTGGTGACTTAAACTCACTCTGGGTGCATATGCACGTGTGCCTAAGATCCCGAAAGGAGAATGGAGGAGAAGGGATTGCGGTGTGGCCATCCCCTCTGGGGGGTGATTTCTTGCTTTCTGTCTCTCTGTCTGTCTCTGTGTTTCTGGCAAGCACACGCGCCCTGTAGCAAAAACCTCTGTAAATAATAATAATAATAAATAAGTGTTCCAGATACATCAGACTCTGAAAGATTCATTTTGTGGGTATAATGACACGGAATTCAGTTGGTAAAATACTGCTGAAGGAATGTGCTGAAGGAAGAAAACAAGTTGCAGAACAGTATTTTCAGTATAATCTCATTTTCATGAAAACAATCTTACTTAAAAAAAATTTATAGTGTATGTATCAAGGGTACTTCAAGAAGTCCATGGAAAAATGAAATAAAGGTATGAGTTTATTTTTGTTCAAAAAGTTTTTTATTTTTTTGAGAGATTTTTGCTATAGGGCGCATGTGCTCGCCAGACAGAGAGACAGAAAGCAGGAAATCACCCCCCCTGGGGGATAGCCACGCCGCAATCCCTTCTCTTCCATTCTCCTCTCGGAATCTTGGGCACGCACGCACATGTGCCCGGCGTGAGTTAAAACCACTGGGTCCAGGACTCGAACCACGGTCCACTACGTGGGAGCCCAGTGACATAGCCATTACGCTAACTGCTGGTCCCCAAAAAGATCTTTTTTAAATTCGCTATAGGGTATGTGCACTCACAGGAGAGGCAGAATGAGAGAGGGCAAGTGAGAAAGCATTCCTCCATGGGGAATGCACAATCACCTGGTATGATTTTCATGCCACCAGGTTTTTTTTTTTTTTTTTTATAAGAATTATTTAACTTTATTTATTTATATTAATTTGACCAGAGAGGGACAGAACGAGAGAGAGAAAGTAAGAAAGCAAGCTGCCGGGCCTGGGACTCGAACTGTGGTTAGCCATGTGGGAGTCCAATGCCCTTAACTACCACACCACCTGCCAGCCCCATCATGCCACCAATTTTAAGACTCAGCCTACATAATTGTCCACGTGGGATCCAGCTGCTGTAACTGCCATGGCTCACTCAATGCAAAACATTTTGAAGTCCATGCATAGTTTATCCATACTGTGCATTTCCACGAATTTTTGAAGACCATGTATGTGTGTATTTGCATAAAATGAAAAAGGCTTTAAAAGATAGTGCAGTGTTGGGGCCAGCAGCTGACCTGTGGTTTAGATGCTGGATTCCCACATGGCTGAATGCTGTTGGAGCCCTGGACCTGGCAGCTTGCTTTCTCCCCACCTCCCACCCTCACTCTCTCTGGTGAGTGCATGTACCCTCTAGCAAGTTAAAAAATAAAAATAATGATAAATAAAATTAAATAATTCTTTAAAAATCAAACAAAGCAAACAAACAAACACATTGGGCTTGTGCACATGCCAAGATCCTGACAGGATGGAGGGAAAAAAATTTTTTTAATTTCTTAAGGATGACAATTAGAATATTGGCTTTTGTGGGACCAGCAGTTGGCGTAATGGTTATGTCGCTGAACTCCCATGTAGTCGATCGCAGTTCGAGTCCCGGACCCGGTGGCTTAAACTCACACTGGGCACTTGTGCGTGCTTGCCCAAGATGCTGATAGGAGAATGGAGGAGAAGGGATTGCGGCATGGCCATACCCCCTGGGGGATGATTTCTCACTTTCTGTCTCTGTCTCTGTCATTCTGGTGAGTGCACGTGCCCTATAGCAAAAACCTCTAAAAAAAAAAAAAGAGAATATTAGCTTTTGTAATCTCTTCCCTTTTTGAAGAGGGAAAGTAAGAGAGACAAAGATAGGTATTTTTGACTGAACTGGATCTTGTCGCCTTGTCACAGTTCTCCTGCCTCAGCCTCCCAATTAGCTAGGATTACACGCAAGTGCACCCACATCTACTGAGGAGTGAACCTGGGCCTCCCATGTGGCTTCCAGCTTCCCAAGCAATTGGCACTATCTATGCCACAGTGGGCCGGCACATTGGTATTTTTCACAAGTATGTTTTACTTTTATAAGGAAAGAATAATAAGAGACCAGCAGATAGCATAATGGTTACATCACTGGACTCCCATGTAGTCAACTGTAGTTCAAGTCTTGAACCCGGCAACTTGAAACTCACACTGGGCGCATGACAAATCTCAGGAGGATAGAGGAGGGATTGTGGCGTGGCCATCCCGGCACTGGAGGGTGATTTCTTGCTTTGTCTCTCTGGTGAGCACACACGCCCTATAGCAAAAATCTCTCTTAAAAAAAAAAAAAGAAAAAGAAAGAAAATGGCCAGGTAGTATTGTTAGTTGAGGAGTTTGGTGTTTATCTATCATTATGTTGTCCATATTCGCTATCCTTAATTAATAGAGCTTAGTAAAATTTGCACTGATGTGTGTTTTGGGTAGAAAGAATGCCAGATAATTGAAACTCAAGCCAATCATTCTTTTTTTACTTTCTTTCTTTCTTTTTTTTTTTTGAGAGGTTTTGCTATAGGGCGCATGTGCTCACCAGACAGACAGACAGAGACAGAAAGTGAGACATCACCCCCGCAGGGGGGATGGCCATGCTGCAGTCCCTTCTCCATTCTCCTCTCGGGATCTTGGGCATGCACGCACATGCGCCCGGCGTGAGTTTAAGCCACCGGATCCCGGACTCAAACTGCGGTTGACTACGTGGGAGTCCAGCGACATAGCCATTATGCCACCTGCTGGTCCCGACTCAAATCAGTCATTCTCAACAAATTCTAAGCACTTGTCTTTAACACTCACTTGATGGATGCTCCCAAGACAACAGGGATGAAACAGTCCTGCCTCCAGAGCTCCTGATCTGCCCTGGGAGACACACATGGCCCGTTAGAGCGTAGTCCAAGAACCTGTGATGGCAGAGAACCTGTCAGGATACTGGGTCAGGAATGAAAGGGGAACAAAGGATCCGGGTGGGTTTCTCGGGATATGGAATCCTGGCGCACTCTTAAAGGAGCCAGCTGGTAAAATGAGGGCGTGGAAGGGTGCTCTGGACAGAATGTAGGTTGTGCAAAGGCACAAAGGCACGCCAGATGTGGCACAGTGAGGGGTGGTGGCACACAGCTTTGCTCTCAGCAACTTGGGAGGCTGAGGCAGGATGGTGGCAGGTCCAAGGCCAGCCTGGGCGACATAGTGAGACCCTGTCTCTAGGATTTTTCCATGGGGCGTGTTCACTTGCCAGAGAAAGACAGTGAGAGGGAAAGTGAGAAAACCCCCCTGGGGGATGACTGTACCACAGTCCCCTCTCCTCCATTCTCCTCCTGGGATGTTGAGTGTGCACATATACACGACTAGTGTGTCTTTTTTTTTTTCAAGAATTATTTATCTAATATTATTTATCATTATTATTTTTTAGTTTTGCTACAGTGCTTGTGTGCACACCAGAGAGAGAGAGAAAGCAAGTGAGAAAGCAAGCCACCAAGACTCAAACCACAGTCAGCGACATGGGATTCCAGTGCCTTAATCAACACACCACCACCTGCTGTCCCCAGGACCTCGTCTCTCTCTCTCTTTTTTTTTAGAATTATTTAATTTTATTTATTCTTTTATTTTTGCTATAGGGCATATGTGCTCACCAGAGAGACAAAGTGAGAAGGCAAGCTGCCAGGTCTAGTACTTGAACTGCCATCAGCCATGTGGGAGTCCAGTGCCTTAACCAGCATGCTACCTGCTTTCCCCTCAACCCTATCTCTTTAAAAAATAATAATAATAACAGAAGACTCATTTGGAAAAGTGCAGATCCTTACTTCTGACTGGAATCTAGGAACCAATTGGGAAGTTGTATGAACCAAGGAGCAGGTTGCGGCCAGTTCATGTGAAATCCAGGATGACTCACCAGAGTTCGGATTTGCAGTATCCTGAGGGCAGTGGGAAAGTCACGCAAGTTTTGAAGCAGAGAAGTGAGACGTCTGCGTGGAAGCTGGAAGTGCCGACTCAGAGCCAACGATGCTGGCAGTGCGGTTGTGGTAACTGACTAGAAAGAAACCGCAGGCCCTAAGTGGGGATGGAGCAGCAGGGACGATCTGAGAACAATTTATGCCATGATCCCTTGGCTGGTGTTCTTAGAGAAAGCAAGCTAACCTTTATTAAAATTAATGATGGGGCCACACAGTGCTGCAGCAGTATTGCAACCCCCTGGGGTGCCAGATCTACGTGAGGTCACATGTTTGTGTTCCAGGCCTCCCTGTACAAGCTGAGCACACAAATGTGCACTTGTGTTCTGGGTTGGCTGAGGATGGGGTTCTCCCTCTCTTTCTCTCACTCTTTAAATAAACTTAAAAGAAATAAAAAACAGAAATTAGGAGGAGCAGGTGGCATAGTGGTTAAGGTGCTGAATTCCCACATGGCCAACTGTGGTTCAAATCCCAGACCCAGCAGCTCGAAAATCCCACCGTGTGCTTGTGAATGCATGCCCAAAATCCTGAGAGAAGACTAGAGGAGAAGGAACTGTAGCATGGCCATCCCCGCTGGGGGGTAATTTCTCACTTTCCCTTTTTCTATCTCTCTCTGTCTTTCTCCAAAGAGTGCATGTCCCCAATGGCAAAAACGTAAAAAAATAAAAGGTAAAGATGAGCTAATACAAGCCCAGAGTTTGCCCTTCTCTCTGTGTGTGGGAAGCTGCAGCAGTGCAGACTGCTTAGTTCTTGTGCAGTGTTTCCATGGGCTGCAGCAGTCTCAGCACGTGTAAGGTCTGTGTAGCTTTTAGCACTTCAAATATAAACTGTGAGTTTCACTTTCTAACACCTCCCCATTCACTGCCACAATAAAGATATGGAATTGCAAAGTAAACAGATGCATTCTAGACCAAATATATACTTGTAATGATAGGAGACAGTATATACAAGTGCTTAGAACTCCTCCCGCAGGGGCCAGCAGGTGGCATGATGGTTAAATTGCTAGACTCCCACATGACTGACTGGATCGAGTCCCAGTACTGGTGGCTTGCTTTCTCATTTTCTCTCTTTCTCCCTCCCTCTCTCTGGTAACACAGGTGCCTTACAGCAAAAAGTAGTAATAATATATAAAATTAAATAAATTACAAAAAAAAAAAAAAAACTTCTCCAGTCTGTGTTAAAGTACTTTATTGCCAGGTGCCAGCAGGTAGCGTGGTGGTTGAAGCACTGGACTCCCACATGGCCGACTGCAGTTTGAGACCCGGACCAGCTTGCTTTCTCACATGCTTTCTCTTTCTTTCTTTCTCTGGTGAGCACATCTGCCCTATAGATAACTTAAAATTATAAATACATTTTTAAAAGTACTTTATTGCCAAATAGAAAATATTAAGCTCTCATGAAATAATGAGAGCTTAATGTTCCTCCACAAAAAGCATACAGTATACATTTTAGAATCGGTCTCAGAATACTCTTACTCGAGGGTACAGCTCTACTGTAACACCTCACTGCTGGACCCACATGGACTGTCCCAGGTTCGCATCCCGAGGCTTCCCTATACACATGGTGCCCCATCTGGGCCAGCTGAGGCTGGATCGTGTTTGACGGCAGATTGTTCAAGTCCAAGTTGTGAATCTCCTTTAGGTGAATTTCTAAATTTTCTGCAACATTAACTGACCCTCTTTTTTTTTTTTTTTCTTTTTTTTTTTTTTTTTGAGAGGTTTTTGCTATAGGGTGCGTTCACCAGAAAGAGAGAGACAAGAGACAGTAAGAAATCACCCTCCAGAGGAAGGGCCATGCCGCAATCCCTTCTCCATTCTCTCAGGATCTTGGGCACGCATGCACACACACCTGGCGTGAGTTTAAGCCACTGGGTCCTGGGACTCGAACTGCGGTCGACTACGTGGGAGTCCGGCGACAAAGCCATTACGCCAAATGCTGGTCCCCTGACCCTTTCTTTGGACATAAGGAGATAGTTTGGATTTCTGAACATTCACATTTGGTATTGAATGCTATAAGACAGTAAAATGCAATCTTTTCCGTCGGCTCTGCTTCACTGTGGTTCAGTGCTACATGGAGGAAGCCAAGTCCCAGCTGGACGACCAGGGTGTGAGACCTGCCCGGTAGCTTGAAGAACATGCTAGGCATGTGCACGTGTGCTCGGGATTCTAATAGGGTGAAGAACTGAAGCAGAAGGATTGTGGTGTGACCAGGCTCCATGGGATGGTTCTTTTTCTCTCTCCCCCTCCCTCTCTTGCTCTTTCTCCTTCCTCCCTCCCTCGCCCTCCCTCTCTCTCTTTCTCTCAAGTGCATGTGCCTCCTGGCTTAACGTTTTTAATCTTTCACTCGTGTCTCTAAGCTAGTAAGCCTGTATTTGTTTCTTGGTAAGATGAATGTTCATCATCATGTAAGCATAAAAGAAGAGTCCCAGCAGTGGAGCAAAATAATAGCTGCTCGGACGTATTAGGACATCAGGCTGGTCAAAGCCTGTCTAGTCATCAAAATAGGAGGCTAGAAAAGCCAGACAAGGGCCAGCAGGTGGCGTGGTGGTTAAGGCACTGGATCCCACATGGCCAACTCAGCAGTTCCAGTCTGGATCCAGCAGCCTGAAATTCACACTGGGTGCATACGTGTGCCCCAAGTCCCGAGACGAGAATGGAGAAGAGGGGACTGTGGCGTGACCTTCCCTACAGGTGGTCATTCTCTGTGTCCTTCTACATTGTTGGAAGGGCTTGGGTTGAAAATGGCAGGGTCACAAGATGGAAAGGGTTGGGAGGAGAGGCCCCTGGAGAGGTGTGCCCTTTCCGAACACCTCCCACCTCGCTACGCTCCTGGGCCTCCGGGGCGCGCTGTGACATCAGGCTGTAGCCACCTCTCCCACTTCCTGGACTGGCAGGTGGTCATGTTTTCACTTTACCTCTCTTCTCTCTCCAGCATGTGAACGCATCTTATGGCAAAAACCTAAAGGGGGGCAAGACAAAAGGCAGCAGGGCCAGCAAGTGACGTGGTTAAGGCACTAGAGTCCCACATGGCCAGGTGTGGTTCAAGTCCCAGACCTGGCAGCTTGCTTTTTCACTTTCCCTCTATGTCTATTTCTGGTGAATTCAAAATAATAATAAATAAAAATAAATAATTCTTAAGAAAAAAAGAAAAGAAAAAAGACAAAAGGCAGGGATAAAAGAAAAATAAGTTGCAAGAATAGTAAAAGGGCCGAGCTTGCTAAAGGGGATGAAAATGAAGTCTCCATTACAGCAAGAACAGATACAGAAAGCTGCCAGTCCAGGAAGTGGGAGAGGCGGCTGCAGCCTGATGTCATGGCACGCCCTGGAGGCCCAGGAGCATAGCGTGGTGGGATGTGTTCGGAAAGGGCACACCTCTCCAGGGGCCTCTCCGCCCAGCCTTTTCCATCTTGTGGCCCTGCCATTTTCAACCCAAGCCTTCCAAGAGTGTAGGAGGACACACAGAATCGCCCGCGGAGCCCTTCAGGGACCGACCTGGAAGCATAGCTCACTGTTTGGCTCAGTGGTTAGGACATGGCCGCCTACCGGGGCAGGCGAAGGTGCTGTGGTAACATTGCTGCACCGTGTGGGAGAGTCCTGGAGTCACTTCCCGGGGCTTCCCTGGGCATGTGCACCTGCATGCCCGTGACCCAGGCTGGCTAAGGTTAGAGTACCTGCCGCCTCCCTCCCTCCCTCTCTTTCTCTCAAAAGGAAAAAAGAAACCTAGTCACATGCCATACTTAACTGTAAGGAAAATTGGAAAATATAGTTTAGGTGTGGACCCAGAAATAGGAAACAGGTTTTGACCAACAGTCTGTGGCACAATGTCTCTCAAAGGAGTATGTAGAGCCAGTGGTGGTGTGGTGGTTAAGGTGCTGGACTCCCACATGGCCAACTGCAGTTCAAGTCTCAGACCTGGTGGCTTGCTTTCTCACTTTACCTCTTTCTTTCTCTCTGTCTCTCTCTGGTGAACACGTGTGCCCTGTAACAAATTAAGAAACAACAGTAAGGGACCAGCAATTGGCGTAAGGCTCTGTCACTGGACTCCCATGTATTTGACTGTGGTTTGAGTCCTGGACCCGGTGGCTTAAACTCAGGCCAGGCACATGTATGTGCTTGCCCAGGATTTTGAGAGGAGAACGAATCGTGGCCTGGCCATTCCCCTTGGGGGAGGGGATGATTTCTCGCTTTCTGTCTCTCTGTCTCTCTCTCTCTGTCTTTCTGGTGAGTGCACATGCCCTCTCAAAAACCTCTCAAAAAAAAAAAAAGTAAACAATAATAATAATGATGAATAAGGTTAAATACTTTTTTTTAAGAATTATTTTATTTAACTTTATTTATTTATTTATTTTAATTTGACCAGAGAGAAACAGAGAGAGAGAGAGCAAGTTGCCAGGTCCAGGACTCGAACCACAGTTTGCCATGTGGGAGTCCAGCACCCTTAACAACCCTTAACAACCATGCCACTTGCTGAGCCCAATAACTCTTTTTTTAAAAAAAAAGGAAAGAAGAAAGAAAGGAAAGAAGGAAAGAAAAGGAGTAACTACCTGTTAGTAAACACATTATAAATGGGGAATTAAAGTGGAAACCCTTGGGCCAGCCCATGGTGTGGTGAATAAGGTGGCTGGATCCCGCATGGTCAGCTGTGTGGTTTGCATCCAGGACCCTGCATGCTGGGCACATGTGCACACCTGCCCAAAATCCCTAAGGAGATATGGAGGAGAGGGATTGCAGTGGGGCCATTTCTATTGGGGGTATGTTTTCTCAACCTCTCTCTTTCTCTGGTGAACGCATGTACTCTCTGGCAAATAATAATAATAATAAATAGGGACCAGCAGTTGGCATAATGGCTATGGCGCTGGACTCCCACGTAGTCGACCGCAATTCACGTCCTGGACCCGGTGGCTTAAAACTCACACCGGGCGTGTGTGGGTGTGTGCCCAAGATCCCGAGAGGAGAACGGAGGAGAAGGGATTGCGGCATGGCCATCCCCTCTGGGGGCGTGATTTCTTGCTTTCTGTCTCTCTGTCTCTCTCTGTGTGGCGAGCACACGCGCCCTATAACAAAAACCTCTAAAAAAATAATAAATATTTATTTTATTTTACTTATTAATATAATTATTATTAAATTTACTATGGAGCAACCAGCAGGTGCCTTTAAAATAATTGTTTAAAAAAAAATAAATTTACTGTAGGGCACACATATGCACTAGAAGACAGAAACAGAGAGAGATCTCTGAGAGAGAGAAAGCAAGCCACCAGGTCTGGGACTTGAACTGTGGTCAGCCATGTGGGAGTGCAGTGTCTTAATCACCACACCACCTGCCAGCTCCTGCAAAATATTTGAAAAAATGGACACCACTGCTAATTTCAGGAACCCCTAACTGATGCTTTTTTGTGGCAGCAG